GTGCACTGCCTCAGCCCGGTGCCCTGACGCGACGGCACCGCCCCACCCACCAGCCTCCCTGGCCAGAGGTGGGCAGCCCCCACCGGTCACAGGGCCCCCGCCAGGCGCAGGGAGCGGCCGGCCTGCCCTGGAGCGTCAGAGGGTGCCCGCCCCACGTGTTCTGTGGCAGTACGAGTCCCGTCTCCGGGACAGCTGGCACACAGGCTGCCCGCACCCCTCACTGCCCACAAGGAGCACCCACGGCGCCACCTGGACGGGCGGCTCAGGGCACAGCCTCCGCCAGGGCCTGCTCACTGTTCATGGAGAAGAGCCCCCGACAGGGAAGCAGGACAAGCGGGAAGGCAAGTGCAGCGAGGAGCGGCCGGGGAGGGAGCCTGCGCCTGGCACAGCGGCCTCCAGCCCGGGCAGGCCCTCCGACAGGAGCCCCGGGGACTGGCCAGGGAAGACTCGGCACCGAGGACTACGGGGCTGCCTTCGCCAGGACCCGCCGCGCCCAGACGCAGAGAGGAGCCTGGACCGGGGCCCGATGACCGCTGCCGGGTCCGGCGCCTGGAGCAGATGCAGGGCCACGTTCAGCTCTGGCCCTGCTGGCCACGCCCTCGGCGCGGGCACCGTCTTTGGTCCCTGGGTGCTGGCTCAGCCCTGCCTGCCCCTCTGTCCTGGGCACAAGGACCGGCCGAGGCCACGCGTCTGCTCTCCCTGCTGTGACTGTGCATCTGCGCACAAACCCACCCCCCCACCCCCCACACCCCCCCCCCCGCGCGTGCACTCACCTTGATGTGCTTGTAGGGCGGGGGCTTCCGCTCGCTCTCCTGCGTCTCTCTGGCTTCCCGCTGCAGTTTGATTTCACGGAAACGAGCTTCCGCTTCTTGCAGTGCTGAAAGGTCAACGCGGTGGGAGGACAGCGCTTGGTCAGCGAGCCCACCTGCCCTTCAAGCTCACGGTCCCCTCCCGTGGCCCCGGACTGGACCGGCGACACCCCACACTCCGCGTGGAAGCGGGTGGGCGTCTGTCCCCTGCCCTCGAGGCTGAAGCAGGCAAGCTCCCCCCACACCTCCCTCTTAGTAACAGCGGCGAGAAACTCCTGCAAACCAGCACTCGCCCTTCCCCGAACCGCACCCCCAGGTCACAGAGTCCAACCCACTCTGGGCCCCCACGGGCCAGGGTCTCTACGGAAACCAGGGCCTGCCCCGCGCCCCTGGCCTCGTGGCCCCGGCAACGTCCGTACCGTTTTTGAAGACTCTGCCAATCCCGCTGACCCCCTGGTAGCGGCTGCCCCGGTCCCCCTCCATGTACGGGAACACTCGAGCCTGATGCGTCCAGTAATAATCTTTAGACCCAAAGAAAAACACAGGGAATTCTCCAATCTCGTGCTTCATTTTCTGAATATTTGGGGGGACATTTTTGGGATGGCAAACTTCTGCCGGCCACCATCTATTTAAATATTAAAAAGAGGGTTCACAGACTCTTCAGAGAGCGCGGCGACCGCTCCACACTGCAGCTCTGCAAAGCAAACACACGTGAGGGCGGGGGGCTCCGGTCCCAACCTGTAGTTCCCGAGTTTGACCCACACGATGTCCTGGTGGTGCAGCCTCTTCCCCGCCCGGCAGTCGTTGCAGAACCAGCTGCCGTCCGGCATGTCGATGCTGAGGCAGTCGGGGTGGAAGGCCGCCGGGCAGGACTCGCAGCACAGCAGGCTCCCTCCTGCAAAGGGGGCGGCTCAGCCTGGCAGGGACCGCGGCCCCCCCCCAGCTCCCGCCCGGACAGCGCGCAGCACCGGCAGCTGCACCTGGGCACGAACAGGGCCCCTCACCACAGCCAGCACCCGCGACTGTGAGACACTCCCGCTAACTCAGGTCAGGGGGCCCCCCACCCGGAGCGCGGGAACCGCGGTGGTGGGTGCCCCCCGCCGCCAGCCTCACCTTTGGAGCACACAAAGCACCAGCTCACGTTGACGTGGGCGTGGTGCCGCTTGCCCTTCCGCGCGGTGAAGTGGGCCGTGCAGACGATGCTGTGGGACGAGACCACCAGGCAGCCGGCCGCCAGGCAGGCGTCCCCGCCGTGGTAGGCGACCGGGCAGCGCAGGCACCGCATCATTTTCCCTGGGGGCAGACGGGAAGGGCCGCGGTGAGCAGCCGTGAGACCGCCCTGCCTCCACCCACGGACACACACGGCCACGACGGACGAGACACAGCCAGCACGGGAGGGTGAGACTACGTAACAGAAACACGTTCTGAAAGACGCCCGAGGAAAAGGCCCAGCATTGAAAACACTGCGCTCTAGCCCTGGCCGGTGGGTCAGTGGTTAGAACGTCGGCCCAGGGACTGAAGGGTCGCAAGTTCGATTCCCGGCCCAGGGCATCTACCCACGTGCGGAAGGCAACCAATCGATGTGTCTCTCACACTGAGGCTCTCTCCTCTCTCTTCCGAGCCCCGTTCTTATACGAAAACCACCTGAGTGAGAATTAACACACCTATCAGAACGGTTCCAAGGGCCCCTCTAGAACGAAGGTCTGGAAGGTGACAGCTGGGGCGAGAAGGGGGAGCGAAGGGGGCTGGGCAGCAAGTCCTTTGCTAAGAAAAACCCTGACCCAACCTGTGTTGGTCAGTAACAGGGAACGTGACCCCAAGCAACGCGGCCACCAGCCCACCCTCCATGCGCCCGCGGGGCTGACGCAGACCCACCTTTCGTGGCGCGCGAGCTGGAGGGGTGGGAGGCGTGGCAGCTCACGCAGCCGTGCAGGGGGCACCGGAAGCCGCGGCCCTCGAACACCGTCAGGGGGAACCTCCGCACGCAGGCCTCGTGGTAGAACTTCCCGCACTGCGGCACGGAGCAGCGCTTGGCGTCCGCTGTGCTCTCCTTGCACACGAAGCACGAGTGGATCCCTAACACGAGAAAGGGGCGGGCGGGGCAAGAACAGGGGTGAGCGGGAGTCCCTGAGCCGCTGCAGCCACAGCGCTGGGAGCCGCCAGGCTGCTTCCCGCCACGGGGACGGCCACGCCAGCTTCAGCAAGTCCCGCCTCACCTGCAGGACCGGGATGTGCAGCAGCCAGGTGGGTGCCACTCAAGTGAGCGAGAGGCGGGGGGGGGGGGGAGTGTCTCAGGGGAAGGCGTCCCTCTCCCGCAGAGAGGGGCTGAGCAACCGCGTGAAGAGCCACGCAGAGCACTGGCGCCCAAAGGGAGGCGCCCAGGGGAGGCCACAGCCGGGGGGTCTCCCCGGGAGACGCAGTGTCTCCAGACTGAGGGCCGACGAGGACAGGAGGGAACAGCGACCGCTGTGCTGCCCCGTCCCGCCCGCCCGCCTGTGCTGGCGAAGCCCAACAAGAGCAGGGGCCGCGGAGTGAGCCGCACGCAGCCGGCAGGATCCAGGCTCCTGTGTCCTTGAGGGGCCGGGTCGCCGGCACCCGCTGTGGCTGCCACCACGGCCACCTCCACAGAGCCGGGCCCACACCGCCCACGGGACCACTGCCAGTCCCCAGACCAGACGAGTGACACCGTCTGACAGCAGTCACCCCGAGCGCCGAGGGAGCGACGGGCCCTCTGGGAGCAGGGCGGGGCTGGGGGCGTCGCAGGACGGCGGCCTGGGCACTGCCCGGGGTTTGGGGCCGGGACGGCACTTGCCTGAGACACACTCGCTGCAGACGAAGCCCCCTTCCGGCGGCCGGGGCAGCCCGAGGCAGGAGAGGTGGAAGGCCCCGCAGCAGGCGCCCTCGCAGAGCAGGAGGCGGCCGGGCTTCTCGCACAGCTGGGGGCGGAGAGCGGGTGAGCCCTGCAGCCCAGCTCCTCCCGGGAGACGCCCACACCCTCCCCAGACGTCAGGCTCGCCCCCAGGCAGCCGCGAGGGCCGAGCTGACCGCACGGCGCCCAACGCGCTCAGGGTGCTGGGCACACAGCCCGTGGTGAACCGCTCCCATGTGCGCCAAGGGGACGCCGGCAGCTCCCGCCTCCTCCCACGCTCCCCACCCCAAAGCACCCGTGTCCGTGGGCGCCTCACTCACACCCGGGCCGGGGCCGGCAGGTGGCTGGCGCCCGGCGGGCCGTGAGCAGGTGGCTGGCGCCAGGCGGGCAGAGAAGGCGGCAGCGCCCTCACCTGGCACACGTGCTCCTTCCTGGCGGTCAGGCCTCGCTCCGACTTTTTTGAGGAGACGGACACTTCGGTCTGAGTCTCGTCGGCACTTTCGTCCGGGGACTCCGAGGGCTCGTCGCCCACGCCGTCCGAGACCTGCAGATGGAGGAGGTGGACGACAGTTCACTAGTCGCAGGAGCTCCAGGGACAGGCCCGCCGGGGCTCGGTCCACGTGCACACACGTGGTACACGCATGGTGCGCACGCGCACTGGCCTCTCCACTCGCCTGCGCGGCCAGCTCTTCTCGGCAGACGTGGTCACCAACTGGTTCTCTGATGACAACGTGGAGAGAACTGGACAGAAAGTCAGAAACGGGCTTCCTCCCGGCGGACGTGCAGGGCGTGTGCACACGTGTGCGCGAGGGAGAGTCACACGCCCCGACCGCCTCCGACAGGGCGTGTGCACACGTGTGCGCGAGGGAGAGTCACACACCCCGACCGCCTCCGACAGGGCGTGTGCACACGTGTGCGCGAGGGAGAGTCACACGCCCCGACCGCCTCCGACAGGGCGTGTGCACACGTGTGCGCGAGGGAGAGTCACACGCCCCGACCGCCTCCGACAGGGCGTGTGCACACGTGTGCGCGAGGGAGAGTCACACGCCCCGACGCCTCCGACAGGAAGCGACTCTGTGGGAGGCAACGTGCTCGCACAGGTGGCCGCAGGCGGGCTTTGGGACGGAGGGTCCTGGCCTGTCGCACCTGGTGGGTAACGGTCCGGCTACTTTAAGTAAAAGGAACGTCAGTGCCAGTGAGCTTCTGAAAGAACCAATGTGCGGTCAGAATGCGAGCCTCCGCACCGCAAGCCGCTGTCTACACCCGAGCGAGGCTCCGTGTGTCAGTCCCTGCGTGTCCTCCTCCCACGGCGAGGCCGGAGCTGCCTGTCAGCCGTGGGGCTGGGTGACGGCCTGGAGGCGGGCAGCTCCGCCGGCTCCTCCTCGGGGCTTCCCTCCCCTGCCTCTGACTCAGCATCCTCTGCCTCTGACTCAGCATCCCCTCCCTGACCAGCAAGACTGTGTCTTTAAATAGAAACCAATCAAACTCTCATTAGGAAACTCTCCCAGTAGCAGCTGGAGACTTTCTTAAATTCCGTTCTCAACGGAACAGCAGACGAATACATCTCGTCCAGTAAACGTTGAGAAGTGAATTTTCAACTGAGCAAACCTATGAGCTGCACTTCCTGCCCCAGGAGCCATGGGCACGGACGTGTCCCCGGCTTGCTGTCCGCCTGTGGACAGAGCGAGGAAGGGGAAGAGGCCACACTGAAACAGTCGCAGAAACGAGTGCACGGCCCACAGACAACGCCCTGTTCTGCAGCCTCATCGACGGCCTTTGTCTAGAGTTTAGTCCAGTGATGGCGAACCTTTTGAGCTCGGCGTGTCAGCATTTTGAAAAACCCTAACTTAACTCTGGTGCCGGGTCACATATAGAAGTTTTTTCATATTTGCAACCATAGTAAAACAAAGACTTATATTTTTGATATTTATATATTTAAGTGCCATTTAACAAAGAAAAATCAACCAAAAAAATGAGTTCGAGTGTCACCTCTGACACGCGTGTCATAGGTTCGCCATCACTGGTCTAGACTGACATTCCCGCGAGCACACACCACTTGGCGTGAGAGGGCGGCTGTCGGAGGGACCCAACAGATGGTGTGGGGCGGGTGACAGGTGTGTGGCCACTGTCCAGCCTCAACACGCTCGTGTCTGACACCCATCACCTCAGTCTTAAGAGAAAGGGACCTTTTAACCAGTTTCCTCGTGTTTTCCAGGAGGACGGAAGCAGCAGGCGAATGACACGTAATTCCGGTCGGTCACGTGGCTGCCTGGAGGGAGGCGGGCTCGCAGCCCTCCGGACCGCGCCCTCCTTCTCTAGCACCGACACCCCAAGAAGGCAGCCCGAGGGATGCTCTGAGCCACGCTCCACGCCACCCGCCCTTCAGATACGGTCCCCGCCGGGCCGGGCACTGGAGACCGGGAGCGCAGGGCCGGCGGCCGGGGCAGGGCCACACGGGAGGGGCTGCCTGACAGCCACCAGGCCCAGAGGGGCCTTCGGGGCCTCCCCGCCCCCCGCGTCCCCCTCAGTGTGGCTGGAAGGAAAATGCAAGGAGAGAAAGACAGAAGACACAGACCAGTCCTGGGCAGAGGAAGAGCAGCACCGTTTATTTCTGGTTACAGAGAAGGGAGCAGTTTCCACGTGGAGATTCCCAGGGACAGCGTGTGGAGGGGAACACGGGATGACATTCAGGGGAGGAGCTGTCGGACACACAGAGGCTGTGTCCGGGGGGTCTAAGGTGCACACAGAACACAGACCTGGCATCACAGTCCATGCAGCCCACCGCTCACCCGCCTCCAGCACGCAGCCCGGCACGGGCTCGTCGGGGCCCAGCGGAGGCCCAGCCCAGGGGCCCCCACTCCAGCCTGGGCAGGGGCCACGTTCGTGACAGCGACATCCCCTGTATGGGCCCAACAGCCCCAGCCCCGGCCCCGGCCCGCGCACCTGCGTCTACCCCACACCCGGGAGGACGCATGCGGAACGGACCTGGCGGGGCTGACCAGACGGCCGGTCAGACCCCCGCACTCGCCGGAGCAGCCTCTGCTCGCCTGTGGGCCTGAGAAATGCGCTCCTGCACGTGGACGCAGCCTCCACACAGACAGGTCCAAGGTGGCACCTCGCCCACACTGGGACCCGGCGACCGTGTGCGAACCAGCTCCCGGGAGCCGTGCAGTGTGTGGGGGACACTCAGACCAGGCAGGTCCCCGCCGGTCGGGCCTGGAGAGCAGCTCCGGCCCCGCACAGGGCGCCACGCAGGGGGAGCTGTGACTGTGGCAGCAAACGCCTTCACGGCTGGTACCTCGTCGCTGCGGAAGCACCGGTGCCGGCTCCACACGGCCTTTCCGTGAGCCTGTTCCCCTGTCACCCAGCGCGGGGCCGACAGGTGACAGGACCGGGCTCAGCAGGTCTGGTCCACGTCACGGCAGAGACTGGTCTCACGGCCACAGCGAGGCCAGTGAACACAGCGACCTTCAGCAAGCCCCTCGTCACCCTGTGCCACCGTGCCTGCCAGCTCCCATCCGAGCAGCCCTGAGGCCTCGCAGACGGGAGCCCTCTCGGCTGCTGGCCGCCAGGGGGGTGGAGTCGCACCCTGTGCCGGGCCCGGCAGAGGCGGTGTGGCCCCAGCCCCAGGGCCAGCCCTCGTCACAGACACACACGCCTCTAGAGTTTCCTACCAGCCCCACGTGCCCTCAGCAGGCGGGGGCCAGCGCGGGGCCTGGAGAACAGGAACACAGCCCGCCCCAGGCCCGTCAGCACGTGCAGGGAGCAAGCCCCACGCGGGGCAGGGCGGGCCACCCCCGTCTCAGCCTCGACAGTCAGCTCGCCTCACGACACATGCTGGCAACCGACATGCAGTGACCCAACAACTAGAGACGGGCCAGAGAACCCACGCGTGCGGGCCTAACACGGAACCACCGAGGCGCCAAGGTGCCCGAGAGGCGCGGCCCCCGGGTCTCAGCCTGACCCTGAGCCTCCCCGGAGGCCGGAACCCTGCGCATCAGGGACAAGCCCACTTCCCACCGAGGCAAGCGCGAGGATTCCAGCTACAGCAGCAACACTGCGCACGTCAGAACCAACTCCACTGACCCAAACCCCACACAGCGGACTCGGCACTTTAAAAACACAACTCGAAAGCCAGCACGGGCTTCGGAGCCGGTGAGAAACCGTTCCTGGTCAGAGTGACGTCTCCATTCCGGCTGCTTTTCACGGCACCACGTGCCGACGGCACAGCCAGAGGCCAGAACCACCCGGAGAACGAGGGCCCGTCTCAGAGGCGTTGAGTCAGGAATCACACAAGAAGTCCGTCCACTTGTGAGCTCCCGCCTTCCCGCTTCCCTGTCCTGTCAGACGGGCGATCGAGGGACGTCACCCAGGACACGGGCTCCCCCTTCACCCGACGGGGCCCTGTGAGGGGGCCGTCCCTCACGTACACACGCTGACGCCATGACGACAGACACGGCACAGCCGAGCGCCGCAGGGCCCAGCGCACACCAGGCCGCGGGCGCTTCCATCACCTGCCTCACACAGGCCCGTCTGGGGCTGGAGCTACGCGCTAACCTGGTCTTCTCTTCTCAGGCCGTTTCTACGACAGACGCAGTAGGTGTGAGCTGCCCCCATGAGGACCTGCTGGCTCTGCCTTGCCCTCAAGCCTGGCCGTTCTCGCTGCTTTTGGTCACCAATCTTGGGGAGCGGGCCAGAGGCCGAGGTGCATCCCGCCTGGTCCTGCCGCCTGCAGGGCTTTCTCCCCCTTCTCTGCGCTCAGCTGCTGCTTCGGCCTCTGGAACCCGACCCCTGAGCACCCTTGGCTTCCGGAAGCATCCTCTCAACCCTGGCTCTTTCCCGTTGGGAGGAGTGGCCGTGACAGACAGGACCCCCCCACAGAGCACCGAGCACCCGGCGCCTGCACCTCGATCCACAGCTGCCGACTGGCCGCCTGCTGTCACCTCTGAGCAAGGCCCTCGGGACACAGGCGCGTGGGCACAACCACAACCACCACTGCCACTCGCACTCGGTGCCGGAAGAGCCGACCTCCTGCCAGGACGGGTGCGGCATGCAGGGGCGGGGCGATGCGAGGGGCGGGCACTGCATGCAGGGGTGGGGTGATGCACCCAGGGGCGGGGCCTGTGCCCTCAGAGCGGCTGCCTCAGACCCTGGCTGAGGCCTCCGGCCCGAACCCACCCACTCAGCACACAGGTGGCACAGCTAGGACGACCCTGTGCGGACGCTGTAGTGCATCCCGACAACAGGCAGCTCAGCTGCTGGGGGGACAGCCACCAGGGGAGCCCATGCCCCGTTCACCCCTCTGGAGCCACCAGGCCTCACAGGGCGTCCCTCAGCGAGGCCACCCTCGCACTGGCGGGCACAGTTCTGCCCGGGGAAGTGACGCCTCCGCCTGCCCACTCGCCTCCCAGGTCCAGGGGACACCCCAGCTCTGCAGCAGTGCACACCCCATCCGCGTCCCCATGCGCCCACGTCCTCGGCTGAGGCCAGCAGTGCTGGTCCCTTCTCCAGGACACGCAGAGAGCACGGTCACTAGCTGGCTGCTGGCTCGCCCGTCGGAATCCACCAGGCCACGATTCGAGTCTTTATCTCCGTGATGGTATCTGAACTCGGGCCATCTGAACACCACCAGTTTCTGACACTGTGAACTCAGGGCTCACTTCCTGGGGAGCACGCGTAACTGCTGGGCTCTTCGTGGCCTTGAGGAGGCACAGCTCAGGTCACCCGGAGGCCGTGGCCCTGCGTCCAAGCCGAGCCGCCGCTGCCCTCGCCGCCGCCCTCGCCACCACCCCGGACTCTGCCGTGGCCCCAGGAGCCCAGCTCTCCAGGTCTCGGTTCAGTCTGTCCCACGTGCAGGATGCAGCCCAGAGGAGCCTCTTCACGCCCACACAGCGTTTAGCTCGGGGTAAGGATGGAATGGCGGGAATGGTGTCATTTTATTGTTATAACCACATTGTCACAAGCGAACCACTGCATCCTTGCGAGGAGCCAGGCACCCAAGGGCTCTGCACGCATGACAATAAGTAATGGCTCAGTGCATATGAGCATAACCCAGGGACACAGCCACTGGGGGGGGGGGGGCCTGGGGGAATGTCGGGGGGGGGGGGAACATATGTAATACTCTTTGTAATACTTTAAGCAATAAAACAAAATTAAAAATAAAAAATGAAAGATTTTGAAGCTATGGCCCCCCCAAAAATATAATAATAATAATGGCTCAGGACACACACGTGGTCAGAAAACTCCACGAGGCGTAACAGGCTACGGAGGAGTCTACGGCAAACAGCGCGTGCTGCTGGACCGTGAGAACACGGAGGCCCTGCCCTCGCCATGTGGGCATGTGACCCTGGGGCTCGACGCCCAGTGGCCCCGGGGGAACTGTTCAATACTGCAAACCGTGTTTTCTTCCTGTAAACTTACTCTGTGTAGTGTCATCGTAAAACTGTTTAGTAAAAAAGACAGAATCAAAACCTTCCCGCCTTGTACGCTGGAAACCAGCTGTGTCCACAGCAGCGACTGCAGGCGGCTGGCGAGGGCGCGGCTCAGGGTGCTGTCTGTGCGGTTCCCGGAGCCCCCATGCCAATGATGGTCAGTAAAAACCCAGAAAGTATGGGCTGCAGGACAGGACCGAACCTCAGTGTGTGACCGTGTCACAGGCCCGGACACCTGGCTGAGGGCAGCCTCCAGCCTGAGCCTACAGTGACCGCTGGGCTGCGGATGCGTTTCTGTCGTGGGATAAATGTGACTGGTTAAATGCCTTGAATAGTACCTTACCTCGGTCTTAAAATGTGCTGTTTCCTTCCTTGCATGTGTTTGTTAACACCAATATAAACAGCCTGCCACTCATCCTCCACGGGGTGACCGCGGAGCGCCACAGGGTGTGCGACGAGACGCCCCCCCCCCGCCCCCCGCCCGCGGCATCCTGGACACGGCGCCGGGTCAGGGCAGCACAGGGCAGCTGAGCTCAGTCCAACTTGACGGGTGTGGGCTCCCACAAAAGCTGTCACCAGTGAAGGCGGAAACAGTAAGGATTTGCTCTACTGAGGGAGTAAGAAATGCAGTGACAGCACGGGACTCCCATCCACTCTGAGGCTCTGTCATGCGAGGGTCCCCTCCACCCTGTCTGGCCAGGCGTCGGGGACGGTGCGGGGACCGTGGGTGTGTACACTTGTGGGCCGCACACGCCCTTCTGAGAGGGACTGAAGTGTAACATGACCTAAAACACCCACCCTCTTTGGTCCCTTACTTGGGTCGAGGGGGAGGGAAAGGGCCGGTGGCCCCAGTGAGGGCTGGCCGGAAGCCCGGCACAGGGGACCGGCGGTCTGCGGGGGGGCGCCGCTGCCTCACATGCTGCAGGCACTCAGCGGGGCACGTGCTGGGGGTGGGCTGTGTGGGCTTCAGGAACAGCCAGGCTCCGTCCCCCTGCAGCGGTCCGGGGACACTATCGTTCTGTGACGCCAACTCGGAGGGAAGATCGGTGTCAGCCACGTGGCCGAGGGGAGGCCTATGGTTTGCTTGTTCTACGTGGGGAGCAGAGGCAGACCTGCACCTCACCCCCAAAAGGCGGGCGGGCGTCCGCGATGCAGGTGCGTCTGACAGTCTGTCCATTTCCGAAGTAAAAGAACTGACAGTCAACTACGTCCAATGATGAGAACGTGCTTCCCCAGTTCCCACGAACGTCTAAGCCGCCCAGCTGCAGCCCAGCCTGGGAGAATGAGTGTCGGACCGCCGGCTTGTCTAACGGGGCGCCCTCTGCACCCACCACGCCAGCTCCCCTCGTCCAGGCCAGGCCCAGGGCAGGGCCACAGGCAGGAAAGCAGCCTCCGTGTCTGCTCCCGCCTGTGCCCGACAGGAGCGCGGGACGGGCGCCAGGAAGGTCCCTGAAGCCCTGACCCAGAAGGGCAAGCACAGGCCGGGCCGGGGCCTTGTTTCGACTTGCGGGCCCCTCTCCGTAACTCTGGGGCCCGGAGCGGACGTGGACAGGAAAGGGGAAAACTCTTGTACAGGACGAGCCTTCTCTCATCTCAACAGGCTCCTGGGGTTCGTGAGGAACTCTGCTGCCTCCTGGGGGCGCCCAGTGTAAGAAGGCCCAGCTTCCGCACACAGCGCTGGCGAGGAGGCCTGGACCGGCCCATGGGGCAGCCGGTCACCACTCTGAGCAGCGGGAGCCAGAGGACCGGGCAGCCAGCTCAGGCCCCCTGCACCTTGGCAACTGGAAGACGCCCCACACGTGGAAGGCCTGGCCTCGTCTATGGGAGGAAGCCACTGAGGCTGGCGGAGAGCCGGATGCCCGCCCGCTGGGGCCACGCCAGAGACAGCGCCACCTTCCAACACAACAGGCTGAGGGGCTGCCCGCCCGGCCCCACTGCCCTGTCCCGAAGGCCCAGGCCTCTCTCCTCACAATTCTAGGAACGGGGCTCCTGTCGACCGCGAGGAAAGGAGAGCGACGGGGAACGAAAGACGACGTGAACCCTGAACTGAGCTCCTTGGCACCGGAGTCCTGAATCCCACACGTCCCCTGGACGAGCGCTGGCGGATCTGCCCGAGGCTGGCTCTGCTTTCCTCACGATGGCAAGACCAGTCTGCGATGCCGTCCACGCGCCACACGACAGCGATGGTCGCGCCTCACACGCGCTGCAAGCCCAGAGAACAGGCGCCACTCCACCTCGATGCTCAACTATCGACGAATATGCCACCATCGAAAGGACCAGAGAGCCACAGACACAGCCACAGCCCCGAGCCTGGGTCCAGAAGCCACGGGAGTCGGAAGAGGTGTCCTAGCCTTGTCGGGACGCGTGCCCAGTGACCACGTCAGCTCAGCTGACGTCACGTCAGGACAAAGCAGCCTCCTTTCACACAAGCACAGAGATTTCGGGAATTCAATGCATCGGCCCTACAGCACGACCACATGCGTTCACACAGACGCCGCGTGCGCTCAAGCAGGCAAAGGCGGCTTCTTCCCACTTCGCGGCTCCTCCACGTCCAGAGCGCCTCTGCCTCACCCACAGCGCGGAGGCGCCACCGGGCGCCGACCGAGCCTGGCCCGGCTCAGGACAGGGCCTTCGCGGGAATGTGTTTTACCTCGTTCTCAGTTAAGGAGGCAGAGGGAGATGAGCTCTTGTTATAGGCGAGTGCAGAGGGCGCGGCTGCCGATGTCCGGTTCCGCTTCTTCAGCGGTTTGCACGCATCAGACAGGTGTTTTGTTGCTGCAAAGTAATTTGAGCCCATGAAGTAAAGCTTGAACGTTAACCCCAGTCCCTCTCCTGCGTTAGAAGTGCCTCTGGTAACGGAGACGGCTCTGTTGCACCAGGGGCTGACGTGTCTGTTGTGGGAACATCTGCAGGTGGAGGAAGGCAGACACGCGCCCCGGGAGCTGCACCGTCCCCGAGCCGTCCCCGGGCCCTGGCCCCGCAGCGTGGCCCCACAGCCCTCCAGGCACTCTGCACCAAACCCCACACCACCGCGCCCACAGCAGGTCAGCCTCTCTCTGAAACTCGGTGAAACACAACTGCAACCCCACTACCCACTTCAATGTAGCCTCTCTCTTCATCATCACACGCCCACTCTATGCCCACCTGCTCACGCAGGTCTCGGGGCTGACGGGCTGACTGACAGCCAGGACAGCACCTCAGAGAGCGAGGGCGCCAGCGCCGTCTGCAACCTGCACTACGACTTCTCCTGAACCTCGCGTTCCTTCCGACTGAGAGCTGGAGCTGGAAGCTTCCTGTCGTAAATGGCCAGACAAGCTCTGGCCGGTGTGGCTCAAAGGTTAGCGCGTCGGCCTGTGGACTAACGGGTCCCGGGCTCAATTCTGGTCAAGGGCCCGTACCGGGGTTGCAGGCTCCTCCCCAGTGCCAGGCCAGGGCGTGTACCAGAGGCAACCAATCGATGTCTCTCTCTCATCCATGTCTCTCTCTCTCCCCCCACCTCCCTGCCACTCTCTCTAAAAACCAATGGAAAAATATCCAAATAAAAAATAAACGAACAGACGAGCCCTGTCCGCGGAGCTCAGTTGGTTGCAGACTCCATCCCCAGTCAGGGCACATCCAAGCATCAACCAGTGAACAAATAAACAGGTGGAACAACAAATCGACCTCTCTCTTCCCCAAATCAATCAATCAATCAAAAATTTATTTAAATAAATAAACCACCAGACAGACCACCAGAGAAGCCGTCAGGATGACTAAGGTGTCTGCCCGGCACTGTCCTGACAGTTACTTTTCACAAACGTTTAAGCTCGTTTCGAGGCACCGACGCCGGAGCACACGCTGGAGTGGGGAGCTGACCTCGGCCAGCACGGGAGGGAGCCCGCGGGCCTGCTGGGGCCCCTTCTCCAGCAGTTTTATTCTGAGAACACACAGCCTCGCAGAGAAAACAGCAGTGGCTTCAAGAGACCTAGCTGAGTCGCTGAACACTGACCACTAAGAGGGTCTGCTCTTCACGTGCACGGAGCCGTCCTGGCACCGGTCCAGCCTGACTGTGGCTCTGACCCCTGAAGGCTCCGGTCCCTCCCAGCCCAGCCTCCCGCCAGGACAGAGGCCGGCCTGTGTCCACCCGCCCCCCATCTCCCAGGCCCACCTTACCTGCCTGGCTCTTCAGGGAGGACAGGGCCTCTGCGGCCTTGCAGGATCCTGTGCGGGATGTTCTGTCTGCAATGGTCTCTCTCTGTTATTTAAAAAAAAAAAAAAAAAGGAATAAAGGAAAAGAAGGAAAAGGAAAGTATCTCCTAGCATGAACTAGCGGAGGCCACTGAAAGATGTGTGACCAAACTTCTTCCCGGAAGCGTCTGGCAGGTCACCAGCAGCCCAGCCCCCGTTCGCACACACGGGCTCGCACGCTTGACTAACCAGGGTGTGGGGCGTGGACAGGACCCTCTCCAGGCTGCCCAGCCCCTGAAGTGGCACCAGGTTGTCAGTGCCAACCTCCCCACAAGCCCGCTCTCTGGAGGATGTCACGCTCGCAGACAAGTGCCACACAAACCTCACGCTCACATACAAGCACATTTCACAGCCGAGCATGTGGCGCAGACCAAGCAGGCACCGTGAGCATCTGTCCAGCCCTTAGGAATCATGTCACTGAAACCACCGTGCGGGCGCCGTGGCCAAGGCCTCCTGCCACCCTGCACTGCACCGCGCCCACCATCCCAGCGGGGCAGACACCGCCCTGCCCGGCACATGCGGTTTCCTGAGCGGCGCGTTCTAAGACGTGTCTACCCAGCCACTCAGTGCGAATTCTGAGACTTCAATGTCAGGGCCGTTTCCTGGTAAGTCACGTATACAAATACTTCAAAGCACCGTGTCAGACAGGCTGCTGGCAGTGCCAGGGCCCGGAGCGGCGCTCCTGCCTCTCGCTCAGGAACCGCCTGGGGCCGAGCACGGCAGGGCCAGCCCCCAGAGCTGCCGAGACGGCTTCACAGAAACGGCGTGCAGGTGCCGACTGTGCACACGTCCGCCGTGTGTGACAGGACCTCTGTGTGTGGACAGAGCAGAGAAACGGAGCACCGCAGCGGCACTGGCCACGCCTCCTGGGCCACGCGGACAGGCCGGCGCAGCACCGCGGGGCCCCTACAGACACCCCGAGCTCCTGACGCTCAGTGAGCTCGAGAGAGCCGCTCAGGGCCTGTGCAGCCGCCACACCTGTCGCTGAAGCAGACCCCGTGTCTCCGGAGGCTGAGCTGTGACGGCGCCGTCAGCAAGCCCCAGAGACCCGGGCTCCACGCCAAGTGCCGCTCAGAGGGTCTCGGGCTTTCCTCTGGCAGCTGCTATCGGGCTGGTGCTCCGGCCCCTGGCAGGTCAGAGCTGCTCTCGGCAGCGGCCTCCGCCCAGGTGCCAGGAGAGAAGCTCGCCGACTCCCCCACAGCAGCCCACGGGGTGGGGAGGACAAGATGCCAGGGGTCAGGGTCGCACAGCACGGGGTCCAGTGCCGGGCAAACCTGGACGTTACCTTCCGAAGCCCCTGCTTGTCCGTCCTGAGTCTTTTCCTGGGCGCCTCTTCACACTCGGCGTCTCCTGTGGGGTCCTGAGTCCTCTTCGGGTGGGTCCTTTTTCTCCCATACAGGTTACCTGGGAATGGGGACGGGGAGCTTACATGAAAAAGGCTGCACAGCCCCGCCGGCGTGGCTCAGTAATTGAGCACTGACCTATGAACCAGGAGGTCATAGTTCAATTCCGGTCAGGGCACAGGCCCGGGTTGCGGGCTTGATCCCCAGCAGGGGGCGTGCAGGAGGTGGCCAATCCACGATTCTCTCTCCCTCTCCCGTCCTCTCTGAAATCAGTAAAAAGGTATTGAAAACCAAATAAAACAAAAAACCGCTGCACAGCTGCACTGAGCACCCCCGGGCATGGGGGTGCAAACCCAGCTGGGGTGGTTTCCTGCCGTCCTGGCCCCAGGGCCGAACGTCACAGACCCAACCTCTGCGTTTTGTGACCTGCAAGGACTGTGTTTCCGGTCACATCAAATTCTGAAAAACCCTCATCTAAGCCAGGTTATTAGATTGGCATTCGCTACAATTACATTTTAACGAGCTATAGCATTAAATTTAAGTATATGTATGCGTGCACATAAGCCTGACCACTGGACACAGGCACCGGGGGGTGAGGCACGAGGGGGGTGAGGGGGGCAGTGGGAGCATAAGGACACATATGTTACACCTTAATCAATAAAGAACTAAATAAAAATTTAAATATAATCCAGTATTTTTTAATCCTTTACTTACTAACATTCAGACTAGTGGAATTTAAGTTGAACTTTAAAAACCCTACAACTTGCTACGTTTTGTCTGTTTCCTTAAAGAAACAACTCTGTTTGCACCTGCGAGTTCAGGGCTGTCTGCGCTCCACACCGGGGTCCACAGGGGCTCCCAGGGCTCCCGCCCACCAGACCTCGGGGCCCAGAGGACGAGGCAGGCTCCGGAGGGACACTAGTGTGGACCACAAACCCGCCTTCCCCTTCGCGCGGCCACTTCAGACGGTCAGGGTCCATGCCTGGACGCGTCTGACACCCCCTGGGAGCGCAGTGTCACCCTCGAACCCGACTCCCGGTGGCACAGAGCACTGTGCCCAGGGCTGAGACGAGCCCTGGCCTCACGCCGGTCAGGCCCAGCCTGCCGAGCCGCCTCGTGGAGCCCACTCCAGGCCACAGCCCCCAGCTGCTCACGGCCACCCCAGGAAGAGCCTGCGGAGCAGTGGGCGGGGCATCTGCTCAGCCCTGCAGGCGAGACCAGCTCCGTCCAAGCTGCCTGTCAGCAGGGGTTCACGAGGCCACAGACACCTGCCTTGGCAGCCAACTGGGCACCTCTCCCCGCCTCTCCTCTTCCGCTGCCTAAGGCAAAGGAGCCGTTGTCTGTTTCTAGCCTGAGGCCGAGGAGGAACCAGGACCCCCAGGCCAGGTCAGCCGCATCACCGTCCTGGCCTGTGAGCTCTCCACTCGGGCAGAAGCACGGGGCCCGCAGGCCAGCTCTCAGGACACGGCGGGAGGCCACACGGACAGCAGAGGTGCCTCAGTGACCACGCACTCTGGTGGCCAGGCCAGCACAGCACCGCGGGTCAGAGCTGAGCGGGGCCGCCCTGCAGTCCCCAGACTGTCCACACTGCACACACCGCATCGAAGCGCGTACCAGAGTCTTCCTCGGAGGGGGACGCTGCCCGGACGGCAAACTTGGTGTTGTAGCGGGCTTTCTGCTTCTCGCTCAGCATGTTCCACTGTGACCCCAGCAGCTCTTCGATCTCCTCCCGGGAGGCGTCGGGGTGCTCAGCCATCACCTGTGAGCAGAGGGAGGTGTGGTGAGGAGGCCATCCCCGAACACCCCCTGGGCTGTGCCCTGGGCCTGCGTGCCCGCGCCGCGCCTGCCCCGGGAAGCTCGGGGGCCTCTCACCGCGGGGACACGCGCTGGCGCTCACACCTGAGAGCGAGGCTGGAGCAGAGGCTCGCTGTGACGCAAACACAGGGCGATCGTGGGAAGAGAAAATGTCCTTTCCCAAAGTCATTAAGTTGTTAGGAAGCTACAATTTCTAGGTGCGTTCAAAGATCAGTTCTAGGAAAAGTCAGGGCGTGAGGTCTGGGCCCGGCGTCCTGTTGGCCGGAGCACCCACGGCACCTTCAGGGACCCGCTCTGGACAGACGGCGTGAGGGTGGGTGCTGAGGGCGCTCCTCAGCCCCGTCCGCCCCAGCGCAGGCAGCACCGATGTCCCGCCCGGCCGGCACCCCAACACTCAGGCGGCACCCAGACGCAGCCCTCAGCCCCAGGCCTGCCAGCCAGGCCCTGGTTTCGAGAGGTCCCCAGGACTCCCGGCGCCCTCCACCCACACCTCACACCTGCCAGCCCACACTGGGAACTCCGCCCCCACACAAACCCCTCCTCGGCACACGGCCACCTCAGACAGCGTGTCCCCACCCTGTGTGTCCTTCCTGGCCCTGGGGCACCGTGTGCTGGCGTCACGGGCCTCCTCTGCAGCGTGGAGTGCACCCGCCTCCAGTGTCCGCATGTCCCTCTCTCGGCGTCGTCACCCTCACCCGGTGCTCCCAGCAGCCCTCAGCCAGCAGCGCTGTGCCCTGCCTGCCGCCCACCCTGCGTGAGGGGTGAGTGAGCCGCCCTCCACACATCAGCCTCCAGGGTCCAGACCCTCACCAGCCAGAGTCCTGGGCACCGGCCCCTGGACACTCCACCAGTCCTCACGTGTGTGCGCTCACCACGGACCTGCAGCCCCAAATGGTCACCACGCCAGACGACCATGCCCTTGAATGAAATGACCACAGCAGGGTCCCAGCTGCTGAGCCAGACAAGACTCCCAACCCCAGCCCTGCTCCCGAGTCAGGCAGGCGGGCCAGCTCCACGCGAGCACCCTCGTGTCCACCCCCTGCCTCTGCCAGGGGTCAGCAACCGGTCTCCTGGCTCCTCCTGTCCCTCAGCTGGGGACACGCCAGGCAAAGATCCTGCCTCAGCTCCGCCGCCACGGTCCCTGCCACCCGGCAGCACCTGCCTCCCCGTCCGTCCGTCCGTCCCTCCCAGCCCTCTGCACCGCGACACGACGGCCCGGCAGGCAGGGACAAGCGCTGCCGCCCTCCCCCACCGGCGCCTCCAGGCTCTGCTGCCTGCACTCAGGGGCAGCACTGCCCAGCCACAGGCCCTCTGGGGCTCCCCTGTCACCTGTCCACGTCTCACTCCTCAGAGTCCTCAGGGGACAGAGCACCGCCTCCCCCTCACCTGGCCGAGGAAGCCGCCGCTCACTGGAGTTTACATTCCCAGGAGGGTGGTGCCACGGTGACCGTTCTGCCCACGCACGGTGAAGGGTCGGGTCCCCAGCTTCTACCTCCCTGCCTGTGCCCGTGTTTCCGGCGCAAGGAGCGACCACATGCAAGGGCCCCTGGGGCTGCCGGCCGTGGCTGCAGGATGGAAGACTCCCCCCGACCTCCAGGCCGCTGTGGGGAACGCGCACCGCCATGCACGGGGCCGCGCCGCAGCCTCCTTAGTGGCTGCCTCTATTTTCGTCATAAAGCACGTCAGGCACACGGGCAGCACGGAGCCCGCCCCCGCCATCCCCCACGCTGAGGACGCCGTGACCAGCAGGGACACGGCAGAGGCGCCCGCCTGACCCCAGAGCCGTGCCTCCCACGAAGCAGCCCGAGGTGCAGGGATAGGTCGCCGGCCGCAGGGCACAGGCCTCCCTCAGGCCTGCGGGCAGCACCTTGGAAGGCCCTCCACCTGGTCAGGCCCGAGGGGACACAGCCCCGGCCAGCCTGGCCCGCGGCACCGTGAGGCACGCAGGGTGTGCGGCTGCTGAAGCACCGGTTTGGGGAGCTGTTAGGTGACAACAGGCAGAGGGCACAGCCCCGCCGCTCAGGCCGGGAGCACCAGGACCAGGAGGTGAAAGGACCGTCCAGTGCAGACGCTGAGTGAGCACTCCGCGCCGACCCTGCGGCTCCCGGGCACCTCCCGCCCGGGCTGCGCGCCCCGCCAGGCTCTCCGCCAGGCGAGGCCCGTCCTGCGGTCCCTGCGACCAGCCCTGCACCGGCCCCGGCCCCGCCCTGGGCTCCAGGGACATCCCGAGGCCCTGAGCCCGGCAGTGGCTCCGGCGGTGGGTGCGTCCCACACACCAAGAGGTTGCGGGTTTGATTCTCTCACAGAAACAGGAGCTCAGCAGACGCGGAGGTCGGGAGCACACGGGGTCTGTGACTCGGACCCCCCCAGCGCAGCACAGCCCTGGAGAGATGCCCCAGGGCCACGCTGAGCGCGAGGCCAAGTTCTAGCACAGGGCAGCCTACGAGAGCCACAGCCGCTGCCCTGCACCTGCTCGCCCGAAGGAAGACACGTTCCTATCACGGGGTTGCCTGTCAGGTCTGAACCTGCACAGGGCTGGGGGCCCCTGGAAACGCTGAGAAGCAGGCGCTCACGCACACGCACACGCACATGCACACGGCACCCACCTCGTCCCGGTGCCTCTGGCAGAAAACCAGGAACTGGGACGCGGCGTCGCCCTTCCTGCTGCGCAGCGTGGAGGCCGCGGCCTTCCTCCTCCTGGGCGGAGACCCCGGGCCTCTCGGGGAGCCGGGCTCAGCCACCTTCGGAGGAGCCGTCGTCCCCGTCCCAGGGCCACCGTCCTGGCTCTCGGGAGCGCGACGCAGCCTGGCTCTCCGCCGTCTCTTGACAGGGCCGCCCTCTGCTCTCCAGGACCCGGGGTCCCCAGCGGCTCCTCCCTCGGGCGCCAGCGCGGCCCCGGGCACCTCCACAGCCAGGCCGGCCTCCCGGGCCGCGTGCGGGTTCAGGTGCAGCTGGCCGTCCACGTACAGGAAGGTGAACTTGGCTCTCCGCTCCTCGGCCGGCATGGCGGCTGCGGCGGCCGCTTGCAGGAGGCCCATCTCCCACTGGGCCCTCAGTTTCCCTGAAATGGGTTTCAGCAGCTGAAAAGAAAAGCACAAGACACTCTAAGTTTCACTATAAAAACATAAAAATCGCCCACTTTAAAGGATACTTTCACAATTTCAGATAAATTTAGAAATAAAAATTATAAAAACCAATTAACTTGAAGGGTTTAGAGTTCAGCTCCATATAACTGCTTCTTTACGCTAGAAATGATTTTAATCACATTTCACTAATGTAAACACACACAGATGCACATATTATATATGATGTTACGTATTTACATATCCATAAAGGAAAATACAGATTACAGAAGAAATAATCTCTGGGAGTCATCACATGAGTAAAGGAAACGGGTGATGTTTGGAAAGAGCATTCTGGGGCGACAGTGAGCAGCGACGGACACAGGAGCCGTCACACCCTCTCAAGCCACTGCAAGTGCAACAGCGGGCCCAGCTCGGTCTGCGCTGGCCTGGGGGCACCGTCACCTTGACTTTCTCCGCCTTCGTGGGCGCCTGCCTGGCACTCTCCTGCACAGCTCCTCAAACTGCCCTTCTCCTTCGAAAGCCGCCAGGCTCTTCTCGAAATAATCCATGCCCTCCTCGGGGGCGTCCGCCGAAAGAACTGCACGTGATACTGGCGCGCCGCTCTTCCTTCTGACCTGGGTTTGAAAATGAAAAGGTGAGGCCCGAGGGCCGACAGTGGGACGTGAGGAGACCAGCCCTGCTCCTGCACTGACCCAGAGCTGGGCCCCTCACCCCCCGCTCCGCCAGGGAGGGACCCGGGGAGGGTCAGAGGGGCCCGGTCAGAGAGCTGACTACCTCACCTTCACCGCCTCCCTTCTCAGATCCACTGTAAAAGATACCAAACGAACAAAACAAGAGAGCACATCCCAAAGGGCCCTTCGACAGAGGGGACCAGACAGCCGGGAAGGGGCGCGGCTGGTGTCGGACGGCCTGGGCACAAGGCCCAGCCCCACCACCTCCTACCAGCTGGCAGCCTTGCCAGCCACTCAGTCCGGAGCTCAGAGTGGGGAAAGGGCAGCCAGGAGGCCAGAGTGACCCCACGATATCCCAGGGGTGGCTCTCAGCAGACAGGAATGAGCCACACCCTACAGCACAGCCAGAGGGACCCGGGTGAGGACGAGACACCTGGTCCCAGAACCCGAGAGAGGGGATGCCAGGCCTGTGCCCTGCCTGGGAACTGAACTGTGACCTCCTGGCTCAGAATGGACCCTCAGCCACTGGCCACAGCAGCCAGGCCACATGGACATGTGTATGCGCGTGCTTTCACTTTAAATCGGCTCAGACTCAACACAGGCCAGTGACGTGTGTCTTCCTCCGTCACTGTTTTGTTTTGTCAATCCTCACCCAGGATATTTTTCCATTGATGAGAGACACATTGATTGGTTACCCCCACATGCACCCTCTCAGGGCCAGGGACTGAGCCGGCAACCGAGGTACCCAGGATGCTTCAGTCCTCGGGCCGGTGCTCTATCCACTGAGCCGAACCGGCTAGGGCACACTTTATTTTTTTAAATACTCACCGAGGATATGTTTTTATTGATTTGAGAGAAAGATCGACGTGAGAAACATCGATCAGTTGCCTCCCCACGCTCCCTGACCAGGGATTGAACCCTCAACCTTTGGGAATACGGACGCCGCTCCTACCAACCCGGCCACCCGGC